AATGAAGACGGCAGTGCTGTAACAAAAACCTCGCTGCTCCATTTCCGAGCAGTCCCCGAGCGCGTGCTATGCTCGGCTTGACTATGGTGCGGTGAGCTTTTTGTCATATAAGCTGAAAAAAATAACAATAAAAATCAGTGTTGCTGGTGTAGTGATGACTGCAATAGCAACAGTTTGTGATGTTGTAATTGTAATTCTGCAAGCGTTCCTTTCTTTCTTTTTTTTTACCGCACCATTATGCATGAAACATCTTGCGCAAACTGCACCCGAATGACTGGGGACTATCTAGATAATCTTAGAACCTTTTGATAAGATTACGCGTGCAACACATACATTACAGTTTATTGTGGAAGTTACGCGGCCACTAGCGAAAATGTTTGAATCTTTGATGGCACATGTATAAATGCCGCGGCACTTGGTTGCGTGGCAGATTATTGACAGCCGACGCTCTATGTTCTATCGGTCTACAGCGTGTATTGCTTGTAGAGTGACGTTTCGCTTTCCAGGCACAGGTTTGCTTGCAAATAAAAAGTTCACTCATGAAAACAGTGGCTGCTGCCTTCATCAACTTCATGACACCGTGACAATACGAAGGCTGACAGCTAACTCTTTTGGATCCAACATCGCGATACTCACAACTACAAAACGCCAGTGTAAGAGAACAAGTAAGTCTGCTCCAGGGATATATGCTCTTATCGCACAATGTCTTCCCGTTGACAGCATACCCCGTAGAACGGTTCACGAGCTGTGCGCTGATGCTTACTGATATGGTGCAGACCAGCTATCGCAACCACGCCTTTGATTAGAATCAAAGCTCGCGGCTGCTGCTCGAGAGACCCTCGTTTAGCCTGCGCCTTTTGAAGCTCGCTCAAGATGGGTGGCGTGTCTCCTCTCTGCTTGAGCATTCGACGGCAGTTCTAACACGTGGCAGGATGCTAGCGCATGCGCCCCCCGAGCAACTGGAGATCGGCCGTCTTATTTAATCTCTGCTTGAGCAGCGCTCATCACCCAGCTTGCGTAATATTACCCTCAGGTCGAACGTACCATGCGTGGGGAATGGTACAAAATTGTAGTTTATGCAGAACATGGTGGCAACGACTAAAACCCGCTGAGTGTCCATACAATTCCTATCAATATGCGAAAAATTTCACTTGACTGCCTAGCAATGGCGCGGTGAGCGCATCTAAACTTCCTCCTGGTTCTCGTGTCGGCTGTGGCACTTCAATAACTGGAACATTAGTTTTTTTTTACATTTATTTTTATGGCGCCCTAGGGGCTTAGTATGAAGATAACTTTTATTATATGGTAGCTAATCTCTAGTCTTTAGTGATAGTTAATGCTGGATGCGGTGTTTTTATTATATTTCGAACATTAAAACATTTTAACAATAATTTTTTTCGTTCACCAGAGGTCAAGTAGCTGTTCAGAACACTGCTTATGTTTTTTCATAATGGAAGTATTGGGAGCGCAAACTGACGGGACACCAGAGAGGAGACAAACGAGCACAGACTTAAACCTGGTTTATTCAATGAAGATACTATATATCAGAAAGGCAAGAAGGGGAAGGAAATACAAGGGAGAAGGTTCGACAGTGATCAAGTGTCGTCCAGAAAGGAGATTTCACAATCTAACAATGATATAGGCGGTGAGCTGACACAACTCTCAATATTCTTTTTTTATAAAAAAAGGCTTCCGCAATCTCTTTAGTTTTTGTGTCACGATGGATGTGTAATACAAATGTGTGCAAAAATTCTGGTACGCAGCCACATTTTGTGCAATGGGCGGACAAACGTAAATCCGGGGCTGACTTCAGCACGTTATAGTGTTCTCGTAGGCGAACGTTCAGGCAGTGCCCAGTCTGCCAAATATATAACCTGCCACAAGACAGTGGGATACAATAAACAACGTTTGACTCAGAATTGGTGGAACAATGATAGTATGCTTAACACCGCAACCTTTTCAAGTCAATTCTAGAACACAGTTGCTGTAATTTTCTACTTGCGGAAAATACAACATCAAGGTTGAATGTTATAGCACATTTTTCTATTTTATGTGAGAACCCATGCACATGCCTAGGGTGATGATCAAACTTGTGTCGTTTATCTGCATCTTTCATGGGGCATCCCTTTCCTTTGTTCATGCTCAGTACCTTCTGAGCGGCGTAAACGAGAACATTGGACGGAAAGCCTGCCTCCTGCAACCTGATTATTTGATTTAAAAAAACACTGGCCATCTTGTGGTAACAAGATTTCGTTACGGCAGAATTGAGAAGGTTAATCGCAATACTCGATTTTACTACTTTAGAATGCGAAGAAGAGTAGTCTAAGATTGCTTTCTTTGAACGGGGAGAGTAAGACCAGCATAGCTAAGATCGAGAAACTCAAGATCGAGAAACTGCGATATGTTTTTTTCTTTTAGTTGCTGCACTTTCACCTCTGATGTAAGGTTTAATATATATGAGTTGTGGGTAAGTCTGGTGACTTGATCAGCACTGCATGCTTGATAAAAACCACTGAAATGTTTTGTGTTTACCAGAAAGCAGGAATACTAATTAACAGTGATGTGTGGCCCGAAAAATTTTCTCGAAAACTAAATGTGGATGCTCCAAAACACATCTTTTGTTGCTGAAGAGCTGCTCCAAAACTCTCCTTTTAATGTTTCAAAGCTGCTCCAAAACCACCTTATTCCTACTCCCAAAGCGGCTCGAAAAGACTGAAGCCTGCTTCCACCCCTGTAACAAGAACCTCGCATTGTTCATGCTGGAGGTCTACCAGGGTTCATGCTACGCAGACACTTGGGGAAGGAGTAGAGATCGATTTCTTACTGCAACCATTCCATCGTGTGCTAATCCGTCACATGCCACTTGGACCACAATACTTGCACTGGTGGTATCGTGACAGTATCGTCAATTACATGCAAGCATACTCGATCGTGGCTCGTATCATGTGCTGGTGAAGCTCTCTTTGTTGAGAACGTGGCAAGTCATTGTCGAATGTTTATGATAGAGCCGTGCTCTCTCAGAAAATTCATGCCAACGATAAGGTTTTGGGAACACTGCCGAAGAATGCCCAAGCTATTAAGAGAAGTAAAACCACGAATTTGTATTCCTACTGTGCAAAGTAGGAGTGGGGTGAAAATGCGCCTGCCAGCAGTATGAATAGACCTCTACCGGGGTAGGTCACAGCGTAACGTCACCGGTGGACGTGCAAGGTGGTGGTTGGCAAAACACTCCGGCTGGTAGTTGAGTGAGGTACAGTCACTCGGTGCTTGGGGCAAGTTTCTTTTTCTTTTTGAAAGCTTAATCTTCATCTCATAGTGGCAACATTAGCTGTGGTATGTGTCAGAGAAAATCTAGGTGTGTGGTAAAGTGCGTGATAAAATATTTGCCGCGCTGGCTGGCTCTTTATTTTGGTGAAGTGAACACACGTGGCGGCCTGTGTGAGAACAGTAGCATCGTCTTCGAAAATGTGCAGTGTTGACTGTGGCTTGTAATCTGCGTTGAAAGGCATTGACAATATTGGTTTGTGCACTGTGAATAATGCGATGCGTCTTGTTTGCGAAAACACTTGTATTAATTGTGGGCCAGTTGCAGTAGCCGGTTGTCGATGGAACTTCAAGATCTGACATTTTAGTCATGACAAAATGCATTTGACGCGATCATCTGCGAGTAGGTACACCTCAGCGTGTGTGCCCAGCGTGCAGAAAAATAAAAGTGCATGATCTCCGGGTGATATATACGACTACGCATCAGCTGTTGTAGCATGTTGTAGCATTGCCAAATCTACATGTGCGCTTCACCATGGCTATAACTCGTATTACCGGATACCTGATACATGTTAATGGAAAAAGCGGAGATTTTCGTCTCTTAGCTATTTTGTATTTTTACGGCTCGATCCTTATGAAGTCGCAGTGCGCATTAGAAGTTCGTGTATCAGGCATAAAGAAGCAATATAAGTACGAAAACATGTTATTGGTGTCAAATGCAGCAAGGTAACTGGGCCAGATAATATTATATATTATTAAGTTGTCGGGTCTTACATCACATGAATTTTCACTCGGTTATTAGAAACGCAGCGGCAGAATTTCACTTTAATTTTCACGAGTATATGTTAACCTCAGCCTAACGCACGCCGAGAAGTGTTTTTTTTTTTCATCTCTGATCAGACTTTTGCGCAATGAGTGAGAATCTTATCCGTGGCGTCACGCACAGCAGCTCAAGATCATGCTTCCGCCAATGCTGTCCCTCATTTAAAACTGCATTGCGCATGCCACAATGGAAATTGGATAAGTTTACGTCCATTCCATGCAAATATTTCTCAATGTGCCAGTCACTGTGTACATTCAAAACGTTTGCTTTCAAAAAAGATCCGATTTTTTTATGGCTCCCATCTACGTAGGTGAAGCCCAGTGTGTGCTAGTTATGTCTCTCAGTACTCTAAATAAAGGTTCTTCATCCTTCTACGACGAGCAAATGTCCACACTATGAGCAGTGACCCTTCCGTGACCCCCTGTTTTCAAAAGCTGTGACTTCAGGACATAGAAATGTAGAAATTTCTGTCGAAGGATCGTAGGCACGCAGCTCTGCTACGCAGAAGATGCCGCCGGCGGAACTTTCTTGCCAACCAGCACCTGCTCTGAGAGAGAGTGTGATGGGCGGGGTGCCCGCAGTGATGTCACACTGTTTACAAACAGGGAGAGGTCTGTTGGTGTAAGGTTCCAAGGCATGATCACTTTCTTCAGGAGGGCGGCCAGTTTTTCACTTAATGTAGAAAAATTTGGACAAGTGTCCACTAAAGCACTGATTTTGCCACCATCGAGCAGCACTGGAATATCTAAGAAAATTTTTTGCGGATTGTCGGTTCGCGCAAGGCCTTGGACTAGTGTGAGCGACCTCACCCCGAAGGTCGCTGTTAGTTTTTCCTGTATGGACATTGCGACAGTATTACCCAGACCTTTGTAAGCAACGTTTGTGTCAATTCTTAATAAGCCTTTCACTGCAGGTTCACTCCTTTGATGGTAGCAAGGACGAAGCGGCTGCTTTCCTGGACTTGGGCCTCTTCATTGGCATCAATGGCTGGTGAGCACTCTTATTACTCGTGAGAGGGCTGCTAAACAATGCATGCGAGATTTGGCCAGTTCAGCAGTGAAAAAGAATGCTTGGGACATGCGCATGTCAGTGAAAAGCACAGTTCGCTTCAAGAATCGGGTCTTGCACTATTGCAAAAGTAGCTTGTGAGGAGATCAGTCACAGCCCTCGTAGTGATTTCGTGCAAGGCAAGAACAATTTGCAGACTCGGCCAGTAAACGTGGGTCCATGTAGTAAGCATTCTGCTGAGAAAAGCAGTTGTTTCCATGAATGCAACATTTCTCATCAAAACATTGGTAGCTAGCAATAGCCTTGGTTGACCGCTGTAAAATTGAGTTTCCTGTTTTAGTCTAGCCATTTTTTTCGCCATTCACACAAAGGGAAAACCACCAGTGTTATGCACGATTGCCTTTTCTTTGTCGACAGCTCACTCAAGACGGCCGAAAATTTGGCTGTCGCAGCGACCATTCCTAGAGATCGACTTCTCATCGAGACAGGTGAGCACAGTGGGGTATTTATCAGCATAGCCAAGATTTTAATTTTTGTGTACCCCCTAGGTGTTTGCAAGTGGTATATGTGTGTGCGTATGTGTGCATGTGGTACACATACAAAGTGTAAATGTTTCACGGGGGTTTGGAACTTCCTTTGGTTGCACCTTTGTGGCATAGTTGAGATTGATAAGCATTTTTATTGTGATGATTCAAAAGATCACTGGATCTTAATGTGCAGAAGGAAGTCATGATGTAAAAGACTGCAATGGGGCCAACTTTTTGAACTATGCACAGTCGATCCCAGTTATATCGAAGTCAAAGGGGATAGAGAAAAATTCGATGTATCGATCATTCGAAATACAAAATACAGTGTACTCTCAGTAAATTGATATCTGGTAAACAGAACTGCTGCTTAAATGGAACAACTGCCTCTCATATGATCGGTTTCATTGCTGCATACTGTGCCCCAGTTGACCTCTCAGTAAATGGGACTCCTGTTAAACAGAAGAAATTTTCCCAGTCCCGTCAAGTTCCGTTTAAATATAGTTCACTGTATGCGTATAAAGGCTTAAATATAAGCATTTCAGGCCTCTGAAATCTTTACAAGTGCTAACGTAATGATTTGCTCGCAGTATAATGAAGAACAAGCAGTGAAATGCAAGTTATCCCACTTTATCACGAAAGAATACAGTCCGTAAACTTATCTTTGCGCACCGTCAAGTTGCAGTCATCCTGAATATCATTGAAGCTTTTCAAAGAAGTGAATTCAGTTCCTTCGGCCACAACAGCGTTAATTAATGCAGAACGCCGATGCAAGCTTTGTAGCATGGCAAAAGGTTGGATAGCGGCGGCAGTGAAGGCGTTGGCATATTCATAACCATATGGCTACACTTCCATGGCATCATCAACAGCAGCCATGATTTCAGACTTAATGCAGTCTGAAACAGCTACGTCGTCACCTGCACAGGTGAAGTCACTCACTGTTGGAGAAGGTGCCCGAAAAGGCTGATAAGTCACAGAATTATCACTAAGGCCGAGGCACCGCATGCCGTTGTCAGCGGTCATAATGCCCCCAAAGTCTTCACTTGGCCCGCGAAGAAAATTTACGACTGTGCTTTGCTTGACGTCGCTCAAAGTGCCAGTCACAATATTTACTGCTATTGTCAACGTTCTGTTCAACTCCCTGTCACAAAACGAGCGCTCAAAAAAGGGCGCGCCGCCAAATTCTCGCGACGAAGCGCCGAGAGGTCAACGATAAAAAAAAGAAAACAAGCATTCAAAGACTCCCCGGGCGCGCGTTCCTCTCCCTCGGAAGCGTAGGTGCGCCGACGAAACCTCCTCGCATCGGCGGCCCAGCAAGCCCCAGAACGTTCTTGATGAAAAGGGGCGTGGCGATGCAGGGTTGCGTCATTCGTCGCGGATGGCCCTCGTACCGTCTCGTCCTTTCCCCAGCCTTCGCTGCGTATCGCGCCGACGAAATGATGAGAACTTTCTGGAATCTCACGCGGAAGCTATTTAATCGAGCAGCCGAGATGGGAGATCAGGAGAAGACGGAAGTTAGCGCCAGAGTGCGTATGGTATTCCGCCGTGTAGTCGGCGAAGGTTTTGTCCTTAGCGACAAAGCAGGAGAAGAAGAAAGTATGCGCCGGAGTGCATAGGGAGTTCCGCCTTGTGGGTGAAGCCTTTTGTCTTCCGTGACAAAGGACGAGAAGAAGGAAGAGGAGAAATAGAGGATTTCCACCTGAGGGGTGAAGACTCGAGCTACAGGCAAGAGTGTGTATCTAGCGCAATCGAGCGAAGACGCGTGGCAACAGCTGCGTGTGTGAAGCTGACGTGTTTCCGGCGAAGAAGTTTGGTGCTTGGAGAGCGGTCAATTGAAGACGCGAGGTTTCCTGGAAGAGAAACTTCGGAGGCAGCGGAGCGACAACAACACTGGACTTTGAGTGAGTGATTCTGGGAAGTGTATCATTCAGACTTTTGTTCCAAGAACTTTGGACTGAATAAGTTTTCTAACTCTTTAGTCATTAAGTTTCTTGGTTTTTCGATGCATGCGACTGCATTGTAGTGCGTATTGTTGTCTGTGTTCGTTGTTTCGAGCGTGGCTGATTGTACTGTGTAGTACATTGTTTGATTGGTGACTTATTGTATTTAACTATTGTCGAGTGTGCATACTTGTGTATCGTTTTGTTCTGCCATAACTGAGAATATAATTCTGTTTTGTTTATCAACTCTCGGCTCTGACTTGTTCTTTAGGCCACAGCCGGTGTCCGCTGGCACGCCAAATAGGACCACTTCTAAATTGTCCCTGCTTTCGTGGTGTGGTTCGGGGGGGCGATACTTCGGCCCTTGGAATTAGCCCAGCGATCGCCTCCCGAATTAACGGGACCAGTGACACTCCCGAATGGGGACTTAACAGGAATGAGGCGAGAAGTAGAAAAGTTCACAAGGTGCATAAGACGACGAGACAACGCCGATTTCTCACAACCGAGATGTTGGCAATATTGATGTCACTTGGCTTTGCAACTGGCAGCCGCTGTTTTGATGTGAAAAGCTAAAGGAAGCGTAGTATTCGAGACATGCGCTTTAAAGGGAGGTTCGGGTCGAATAATGCGAGTAAAATTATGGATTTTTTATTTTTACCTGTTTTCATAAGATTAGTACATCTACTCTTCTGAAAAAAAAAAAAGTCCATGTCGGGACTTAACTGGAAATGCTTTAAAATTGTGCCTAAAAGAGCACAAGGTGCCATTTAAAAGGTCGAAAGTTTGCAGTCTTCGAGCACTTTGCCGCCGATAATGCGTCGCCGCTCGCCATTGTCGATCAGATGAGGTGAAGAGTCGAGCCTCACTGTTCAAATAACAACAGTTTCTCTCGCCGAGATGGCACAATAAATGATTAAACAAAGCGCGCGTTTTTGTGCATTTTTCGAGTGCCGCGACTGGCTTATCACGTGGTACGGATTGGGGACCGCCATCGGTTGCTGTGCAGCTGAAGAATGCTTTTCTCGTGTATTTATCTCCATTATGAATGAAAAAAAGCCATTGCTTGCGCGTGAATGCCATTGTGGCGGCGCACTCTGTAGGAGTAGGCTACGAGCAGCTGGTCCGATTTGCGGCAGTTGTTGGCTTGCAAAAGCCGATGCATCAAAATTCATTCACAGCCATCAGCCGGAAAGTTTCTGATGGGGCAATAGATGACGTCAGCACCAAGCTTGCGAGGTCGGAAGAACTTAGAGGGGACGACATTGCCGTTATGTAAGATGGAATGTGGCGCGAATGTGGCCGCAAAATGATATTGACACTGTTGTGTCCCTCGACACTGGACTTAGTTTAGCTTTCGCAGTCCTGTTGAACTTCTTCCTAGCTTGCGGTCAGCACAAGGCTCTGCCAGATGTAGCGAAATAATTTTGGCAATCGTTTCATGACTATGTCTGCGAGCGAAATATGTATTAGGAGTTGACTCGAAAAAGTTGAAGGGACAAACTTGTGGTGCTGGCGTATTTTAGTGGCATTGGCTACTACAAGAAGGATTGTTCTTTTTGGTGTGCAAATTTCATTGCATTTAATGACATCTTTCATAAATAAAAACTCAATTTTGAATTTATAACTCGTTTTTCTCAAAACACAAATTTTGCCAATTTTTTCAATGTGCCCCTCCTTTTTTGGGCACTTCTAGTGCTCGGATCTGCATGAAATTTTGCCAAAATTTTTTCCTAAGTATGGCAAATATGGTTATCTAGTTTAAATTTCAATATTTTATTATTTAATGTATGAAAAATTGTATGTAAACCTTTACTAGGGTAGGTGAAATATGGACTTCTTACGTCTATTATTTTTCATGCCTACTACATATTTTGTATGTGCTTTCTAATTAGTTATTTACATTCCACACTTCCTTTGAAACATTATGAACTATGAATGATAAAAAGTTACAAAAGTTTAGGGACGAAATGAGGGGGGGCAAAAGGGTTAATGTTTTCGATTTGTCATGTCGCAGAGCTGAAAGTTATACAACTTGCGAGAAAACTAATTATATATTTGAAATCAGCATACTAAGTTCCATACACAGCTCAAGTTTCATTGCTGTAGGGTGAATATTAAAAAAAAAGTGTCTTTGAGTAGCATCTACCCTTAAAACCGAAAAGGCTAAAACTACATCACAAAGATCTGGAAGGCCATGCTTTTCATGCTCATGCCATTGTGCGCTAGCAAACAAGGAAGGGAGTGTGAACACTGCAGTGAGATCGCCGAGTCACTTTGAATTCTCATTTTGGTGTCCTCAGCAATAGGGTCTTTTTGTAGAACACTATGCGTTATGACCTGCAGATCGAGCATCAAACGTATCCGTGCACTCGTAAGTGCTGTGCAACAAACCAGATCAGCGCCTTTTGTCTCTAGCTCGCAAAAAGGAATCTGAACTTGTCAGAATGCGGCCTAAAATTGATCAATACAGTCAAAACCCGCAATAACTAAATCACCGGAGAAATCGGAGAATTTCGTTATTGCGATCGTTGCCGCGAATATGAGACATAAAAACAGTGTTACTTCCGCTTTTTGGCTAGTGGGGGCATCTAACAAGAGCCGATGTGCCGGTAGCCACCCACAGCACTTTTACGCAAACAGCCACACCAACACAACTCGCGGCGCTCTTGTGTGTGAGGCCACGTAAGTGACGAAATGACAAAGCAATGCTGGATGGGATTGTGTTGCCTCCTAATGGTGTCGCTGCAAGGCTACTTAACATGATGATGACATTGTTGCCGTTTTTTTCTTTTTCCACGATCAACGAAGAATTTGCTTCCGGCGTCAAGCTTTTCTCAGGCGCCATTGTAACTTCATCTGGATTTCGCCACCAGTTCTAGTCTTCTCTTCGTCGTTTTGATTGATTCCAACTGTTGGTGTTGCTTCGGCCTGTTGAGCTCATCCGATGGCGCCATCTGCACTCTAGCATGATCATTTGCCATCGCCTGCTGCAGTGTGGCCGGGCATGTTGTCGGACACAGACCCCAACGCCGATTTAACAAAAATGGCGGTACCCACACTAGCGCTTCAAAAGCAGACGTTTATAAATTTTGAGTGCGCATAACATGCATACGAGCATATTTTTGACAGTTAACCTTTGACGGGAGGGCAAAATAAGGCCCGCACCATGGTAGAAAATTCGTTAATGCGGGATCGCTGTCCAAAAACATTTCGTTGCCGTGAGATACGTAATACATGGGCTTCTATGAACGTTCGCCAGGGATTCGGAAACATTTCGCTGCCACGGGGATTTTGTACTCGCGGTGTTTCGTTATTGCGGGTTTCGAATGTATTTGCTAGGAAAAGTGCACTTTCTGGGCATTGGAGCAGCACAGCATTCAATATAGCGGGAGCAGGCACCGGTCCTATACTTTTGCATGGGAAATTGTAGGGAATTTCTTAATAGTTCAATATTGCCAATATGTCGATACATCTGAGTCTGATATATACGGGATCGACTGCATAACGAAATAGGTTACAGCGGTTTGTGGGCATCAAGTCAGAACAGTAGCTTATTTTTAACAACAACACTATGATTAAGCGATGCATACTGTCCGATATGCTTAACACTTCTCTGTAATAAATTGGATGCTCTGATTACCTTATCAAGTAACTTTTTGTAGTATTGTCAATGATTAATTACTTTTTAAAATTTTTGTGGTAGAACTTGCTGTTGTGAAGGTCAATTTTGTTTTCATCAACTATTTAGTACATCATCATATACTACCACCTCATTGCCTCTGCATCAAAAGCAAAGCACTCGAACTCAACTGAATAGAAGGCTTATGCCAATGGCGACCTATGACAGATGCAGCACGAGTTTCTGCCTTTGGAGTTTGGATGACCGTGTCGTGTCTGGTTCAACCTCTCGGAGCTGAGGATCAATGTGCAAACAACTTAGAATTGTTTTCTTATCTCTTTCAAGCCTTGTGCTGCTTAGTGCAAGCTTGGCCAACTTCTCAACCTATCAGGAACAAGCTCACTTGCATGACCTGAATATCGTGGCAACACTGCCAAGCAGCCAAGTGCATGTCTGAATCCAATGCCTGTCATTGCTATAGTAACTGGCAGGCTTTGGATTCCTCTCTTGCTATAAAGCATTCGAAAATCTAGGTCCCAGTGCAGCAGTTACAGCGAAGCAAACCTTTATTTGCAGATGTCTAAAAGTAATGGGCAAAAGAACAGTCAGTCCTGGCCAATGTACAAATGTATCGAATGTATGCATAAAAAAGAGGTTTTGTGGACAAGGCTCCCGTGCAAAAGCCAAAACATTTACTCCCGAAAGAGGGGTTTTTCTTCACCCTATTTATAGATACCCGACAAGATTGGGCTCCATTCAAGTCTCATTCCGAAATAAAGTTTCTAGTTTGAAGAGTGTAATAAACTTGTGGCATGTGTTCACTTCCTTTGTTAACAGCAGTAGGTAGACCTACTGCTTCTTTAGTGTGAATGAAGTCTACAGGTCTTTCAAGAATCCCCGGAAGGAGGTGTATTGCGTGCCTAGCCTATACATTCCTCTCTGCGCAGACTGTCCATGGTGCGAGATCCGTCCCACACATGCTGGAGCCAAGCTGATCCGAACATCATTTCCAGCTAAAAAGAAGGAGCGATTTGAGCCAGGATTCATGGTCAAAGGCCGCAATGAGCCTGCTAATCTTGTGTGAGTTTTTTATAGGTGATGCATGGTGTGAATGGGACTGTTGCAAGCTGCCTGAGGCATGCATCACAAGCTTGCATGAAACACACGAGCAATACAGGAACAATAAGAGCCAGGTGTTTCTATTTTCACACCCTGTTAGATAGTTTGAAGGCAACACCTTGAAGTTGATTCCAAGCCTTGTACTTTTCTAGCTCTTCACTTTAGTGTCAGTGCTCTGTCTTGCCTGCCTGTTCTGCGAGTTTTCCTGCCAAATGGACAACATGTCGTTTGATTATAGTAGTTAATACCATGCAGTGGAAGGTGCTTCTCTGTTCCCCACATTTTGTTGTGTCCTGCGTTGTTGCACAGTCCCTTATTTCAGTGCTTGAGAGGAACTGCTGTGAGCTTCATCTTTTCCCAGCATTGGTCGGCACACTCACACTCACGCCGATTCAGATCGAGCCATGAGTTTGACCCTGAATGAGTCCGGGTGAGTAATGTGTTGGTGAGTTTGAGTGAGTCTGGTTGAGAAAAATCCTAGTTATTCTGAGTCTGGTTGAAGTATATATATTGGTGAGTATGAATCTGAGTGAGTCTTAGGCGCAAAATGTGTGTCCTTATTAAGTGCGAGTGAGCTTCGCCTTTATTGCCGACCTATGGTTCTATATACTTTATTGCCAACCTATGGTTCTATATACTCGCCTGTCAACTTTATTATTGGCTCATGTTGATGCTCAAGTCTATACCTCCCTCTGCAAACTCTTTTACGCGACGTTCTAGATAGAAATATCTTGTTTGAGTCGAATACATCATAAAAAGTCCTAAGTGGATTGCAACCACTGATAACTTGTACTTGAACTATCAAATTTACTCATGTCAAGATTTTTGCATGAACAAGTAGCAATTGACCACCTAGTAGTGATTCGTGACCTAAATTGCATTTGAGTGACGAATGAGTATCTGTAATATTGAATAATATATTTGCTACCGAATGCGGTTCAATATGGGTGGAAAGCTCGTCAAATTTTAGTGCTGGCAGCGCTATCTCACGGCCACGTCGAGGCCGCTGCACAGCTGATGCTGCTTTCACAAAAAAATGGTGACGTCACACTGGCGTTTCGTCTGCTAGAAGCGCACGTAGTCAGTCAGTCCAGCTGTGTCTCTGAAGGCGTAGATGTGCCTCCGTCGCCAACATCATCATCCTCGCCGTCGCCCCAGTCATCATCGTCAAGTGATGATGACAGCGACTTGGAATTGGGTATCGCCGCGATTCGTGACGATCCTTGCTTGACAAGCTCTGCGTTAAATGCAATGTATTTATCAGTCCCGACCCTATTATCGGTCGGAGCTCAGGAACACGAACTATGCACCTCATGTCGCGGACGTTTGGCGAGTGAATCGCGGCTTTCAGCTGCAGCATGGCACACGATAAAAACAACACTGGCCTCGAGTAGAGGTCCCGTACTGCCAGTGAAACTCAACTGGTTCGCCAAAACAGGATTTACCCTGTAGCAGCTCGCTGCAAAGTGAAGGGAGCAAATCCGGCTGTTCTTCACAGGCACCCAGTCCCTCTGTTCAACGGCGCATACGAAGTCAACCCACTGGCTGCATTGAGGTTCGTGGCTTGGAAAAGCGTGAAACGTCACGCACTTCCCGCTTTTTCCGCGCTTCGACGTGCAGGTTCTCACTACGCCGTGTCTCCCCAACATTCTGGCACGTATTGTCGCTCTGAATGATCGTACTCACACGCAGTGGAGCACAACTCAAATCAGTCGATGCAACATGATGAATCGCACGCACTCTTCAACACAGCGAGAAGAGCCACTAGTGAGAGCATGGCTGGGAGTCGGCTTCAAACACACTCGGAGATCGTCGACGTCATTACTATCGTATCATCACTCGGGATAATATTTTTGGAATGTATCACACCGAACATGTAGCTCTAGTGTCGATGTCGCAGGGCAGCCTACTTTTAGTTTTTCTCCTTAGCTTTTCTACGCTGTTTGATGTTGAAACAAAATAACTTCGACGCGACAGACGCCATTCAAATTTGGCCAAGAAGACCGATGCATACCAAGTGATCGAATAATGGGCATATCTCGATCTTGAAATTTGATGTCAGTGCTCCTTTAAAGGTAAAAGATTAAAAGGTGTATCGTAGAGCACCAATTATGTAACATATTGTAGTTGAGGAGCACTTACGCTATAAACAGAAAAGCGAATTTTATGCGCGCAGACTGATGAGTCGACTCACTCATACTCATGTCAAGCCATGAGTCTGAGCGAGCGAATTTGGCTGAGCAGCAATACGTTGGTGAGTTTGAATCCGAATGAGCCCAATTGAGAAAAAGTTTACCGAGTCTGAGCCAGTCTAATTCAAGAAAATTTTGGTGAGTCTGAGTTAGCCCTCAGAGCAAAATATATTTTTTAAGTGAGCCTGAGTGAGTACCCATCTTTTTGCTCAACTGTGTTTCCCAGTTTGCAGATGTTGATTCTGCGAGGATTCATGCGAAAAGTAGCAGACAAGTTTCTGAGCAAGAAGCAATGTTTATTACCGAAACGAAACATGCAGTGCATGTTTCCTTTCTATGCAAATTTCTACGCCTGATTACGCAGCGTGTTCACTGATTCGAGTGTCACTTTGGTTATTTTCACAGCTCACTTGGGTCTTTGTCATAATATACAATATCCACTATGACCAAGCTGATTTATGGTTACGCCGAGATTGGCCCCTGGTAACCACTTCTGATTTCTTGAAACCATTAAAAATTTTATTGCCGCTTTGGTTCTTTTTTCAACTCGTTTTCAAAGTGGCAGCTGTATAACTTTGCCCGCGGCTGAGGTGCATGCAAGGTTGTAATATTTTACGAGCCAAAGCCATGATATCATTAGGAGGCACGCCGTGGTGTGAGACTATAGATTAATTCCGGCCCCTGGATTTTTTTAACGAGCACCTAAATTGATTTGAAGTTTAAGGTGCAACAATGACAACGAACAGAGGTTGCACGCATTCCGAGCGCACTTGTGTTTACATTGAGTGTTATTCACCGTACGCTTGAAATATGCAAAACGAAACACGCCCCCTCTGCCATTCTCGCACCTAAATCTTAACACAGTGTTATTACATTTCTCTCCTATGGAAATGCAGCTGGCGTAAGGGGGAACTGAACTCACGACTTAGATCCTAGCATCGCAACACGTCAGCCTGCTAGCTTAGCGGTGGGTGTTGCTTGCAAGACCTATACGTAAAAATGCTCAGTCAAACACGCAGCTTAAATATGTTTAAATTGAGCAATGACGAGTAGTTCACCGCCATCAGCTGAATAAAACAGCTACTACATGTTACATTATCATTGTAGCATGTAGTAAATTTTTACATGACACATGTCATGATTATCATGTTTACACCAGTCATATTACTTCGACATGCATTCACATCACGTAACTCCAAATTCGGTACACGTAAAGCTAGTGAAACGGCCGCGAGGGCATCGTGAGCGTGGTCATGTCGTTACGTGACACGCATGTCATGTTTTCTATGTTAGGGTCTGTCGCTTGTGTTCGCCATGCAGTCATGTCATACCATACGACTTTTGCAATATGTCATGGGAATGAAACCACCACTTGGGCAGCAAGACCATTAAATGTAAATCGTGACATTAAGACATACATGACATGATTTTCATGTTATGACTAGTCACTAATGCTCATGATACAATTATGCTATGCCATACCATTTTGGTATCAGTACCATTATCGAAAGGGCCATGAGAGCTAAAAATCGTAGGCGGCTAGATAGATACGCTCAAGATCGCCAAACTTCGCTAAGAAATGCTTCGCATTTAAAAGACTGTCTTCTTCACTGAGCGAATTTCAGAGAAACTTGGCTTAGAAATTGATGAATTTCGTTTCAAATCTCATCCTCGTCACCAATAGTTGTGTCAGCCTGGGTTCATGTGAAAAAGAGCAAGCAAGTTTGTGAGTAGCAAGCCAGGTTTATTGCCTTATGTTCATCGTTGCGTGGCTGGTCCTCATAAGCCACATGCATTTTATCTATTTCGTGCGCCTGCCATTATCGACCCTAAATTGTCTGCGGCGTTCGGCCGGACACCACAGAAAAAGCATCAAATTGACTGTAAGTGCGCACAGCTGCACTGAAATGTATAGCTACCCAAATCTTTAACTGTTGTTAAAGCTTTATGGACCGTGCACACTGTCTAGGTAAATTCAGCAAAAACCGACGTCGTCCTATAATAGTTAAGTTTACCTTTTGCAAGACTAAATCTGCAATCCCTTCCTGTCGCCGCAAATTCAAGGGCACAGAATACAGCGTGGGAGAGTATTTTTCTACTGCAGTCCGTACTGTGCAAAAACACCTTCTTGCGTTTGCTAAATCTAAAGCAGCTCCCTTTTCTCTGCGGTACAAAACGCTATACATCGGGCCGTACCGTTACATTTTTTACTCACCTTCCCAAATGATAAAAAAATCTACTATCTAGCAATCACCTCGTAAACAGAAAATGCCCTGTCACGTAAAAACCGCCTCTTCAAATGATGTGTCCTTTTCTATCATTTTCACAAAGATACGTAGCTTTTTACCGAAAAGAGAGGCCTTATCAAATCTTGTATCGTCTTCTGCTAGTAACCTGCTGGTACTCACAGAGACTTGGCTGTCTAATGATGTCAACGACATCGAACTTCTCGCTGACTTGCCAAATTTAAATATTTTCCGGAAAGACCGCGAGGGCTCCCGAGGGGGAGGCGTGCTCACTGCTGCTAGTCGGAAGCTGTCATGCTCCATTAATAATGTCGTGACTGACGTAGAAATATTACGGCTTTTATGTCCGGCTAGACCGAAAACACTATTACTTGGCGTATGTTAAAGACCACCACGACACAGCCCACACTTTCCAGAAAAACTGAATGATATGCTAAGCCAGCGTCTTACAACACACAGTAATGCCACTGTTGTACTTTTTGGCGACTTTAACTACCCAAGTAATGACTGGTGTAATCAGGTC